CTTGCGCCGCTTCGTTACCTTCCAGCCCAGAGTGGGCAGGAGTCGATACAAGCTCCACTTCGCTATTCAAGCGGTCTACCTGTCCGAGAATGCGGATGGCCGTGGTCAAGATGTATACCGTGGAATAGGCCATGATGGCTGTTTTGGAGTCTTGTACACGTTACTAAAAAAAAGTAATCGATTACAATTACTATTACTCTTGGCTAAAAAGTATTCGATTAGATTACTTGATTACTCGATGGCGAAAGTAATTGGACATTACCTAAAGAAGTAATCGTTACCTTTCCGATTACTTTATTGTGTGAAGACACATCTTTAGCGCTCATAACAATCAACTACTTCCAACCTATATCTCACATTTGCGCAAGTATTGAAGAAGAAAAACTGGCTCCCTCTTCGTGGTCGTTGCACCTTCACAATGCGGATACAAGCATAGAATTCGTTTTAAGACGTTTTGAAGGATTTGAAACGGATCATGTGTAGTATCCATTAGCGGAAGAGATCGCCCCGACCACTTCTCAACTCGAAACATTGCTTGTCACAAAGACCATGTAGGGGAAATGGGGAAATCTTTCAACTGCCTTTGTTATATTTTGCATCCGCTTTAGGCATTCTTCGGTTCTGGTTCTCCCATGGGCTGCGAGTAGGTACCCTAAGCAGGATTTTTTTATTTCTGTGTGTGTGTGCGTGAGGGGGCTAGTTTGAACGAAGTACTCACAAAGCTACATTCTGCTTCCTCAAACTTCGCCCGGAATGGCCTTTGTCACGCACTGTGGCTTTCCTGGGGCTTCCCACTCCCAGTTTCAGCTCGAAAAAAATAAAAAAAAAAACGGACATTCCACGGAAACTGTACATAGAAAGAGATTGACCTCGTTTCCTACAGCTCCGCAAAAATCTTTCTTTTTTCCATTCAAAAAAAAAAAAAAAGCAAATTTTATTTTTGTCATTTTATAAAAAAAAGGCGTGTGCCGGGGGGGAGCGGGGGGGGGGGGGGGGCGTGTACAAATTGTAACGGTTACAAGTAATTTTATTACTTCAAAAAGTAATCAGCTTACTCTTGTGATTACTGCCTAATAAAAGTAATCAACTGATTAAAAATTACTCCAAAAAGTAATCGATTACAAGTAATTTGATTACTTGTAATGCGTACGCTACAAGTCTGCCAATAGTCTTTGTGAGAGTTGGTGCAAAGAGCTAGCGCATACTTTTGCCTCTCGTGGAGATCTAGCGGTGACAGTCGCACAATGTATCAGCTTAAAACGCCCGTTAACAACTGCAAGCGCTAACTTGTTCTTACCGCACGATGCAGCGTCTACATATAGAACTTCATCACTCCCACCAAGAATCCTGCCTAGCACCTTGGCCCTAGCAACCCTTCTCCCGTATGAAGGGAAGAATGCATCTTTCTAAGAAGTGGTTTGCAAACGACGTGATCCCTGATACATGAGAGTATCTCTGCATCTTCGCATAGCGTGGGTAATGGATCAATAGAGGGTGTTTAGATTTCTTCTGTAAGTCCTAGAACCCGGCAGACCAAGTATTTGGGCAGATTTGTGAGCCTCAATGGGTTGGCAACTGTGTTGTGCAGTACCAATTTAAGGAGTCTATCGTTGAAAGTGCAGAGTGGAAGGCCGAGCGCAATGTTGTACACCCGACGAACGAGGGTATCTGCTTTACTTATATCCGTCTTCTTGAGGCAGAGGTAAGGGAGAGAGTAAGTAATTCTGGATAGGACAAAAACCGAAATGTGCTTGCATATGTCTGCCCCTTTCATGCCTCCTCTGCAATTGGAGATTCTCTTTATGAGACGCGAAATTTGGTACACCGTGGTATGAAGTTTCGCCATGGTCTCGCTATCAGATCTGTTGCTGTGGAATGTGAGTCCGAGTATACGGATGGTATCGATTCTGGCAACCAGGGTGTCGCAAATCTTGAGTACAATACTGTTGGGTACGAGGGAAGGTTGTCTCTTGCTAGTCTCTTCTTTGACAAGAAATTTGGATTGGGTGGGCAATAGATCTGAGCCAATTTCCTTAACGTATTTGTGGACCGTATCGAAAGCTCGCTGCATTGCCTGTTCCATGCCAGTGATACTGCCTTCGGTGGTCCAAACCGTAATATCATTGGCGTAGAGAGAATGTTTGATACCCGGGATTGCATCGATACGCGCCGGTAAATAGCCAAATTAAAGAGGTGAGAGCACGGCCCCCTGCAGAGTTCCCTTGTCGCCAAGCTCGATGGTGCGGGCTACATTCTCCGCTGACCATAATTTCAGTTGTAAGGATGCTGTGGAAGGATTGAATGTATTTAAAGTGACCTGGGCCATGTTAAGCCGAGAGATTCTCTCCAAGATTGGTTCATGAGCTACTTTGTCTAAATTTCCGAGCATACAATTCGTGACACCATCAGCATCGGAGCAGACATCGTTTTGACCCTGTTGACCCCATCCCCGACCTCAGCCACACTAACTGGGGTATCCAAGCGAGGGTTGGGCTAGCCCCGGTACAAGAGGCAAGAAGGTGTAGAGGACCTGTCGGTATTGAGGTACATTAACGGGAGTGATCATCATTCTTGTCCAGCTCGCTTGCCCCTTTGCATTTAATTGCATTATAATTAACGGGAGGTCGCCGATTAGGGCTTCCGCGTCCTCTCCATTACCGTGGCAGAATTTCATCATATTGTTGTCGAACAGACGGATTTCAGAGGGTCGTGTAGATGTCTGAGCAACGTCCAGGTGCTATGAAGGCCCAGGTTTCCGTTCATGCGGTCACAAACCTAGCCCCAGTGAAGTCTATGTAAGTCCGCAGCAATTTCTCGAATCCCCATCGAGCATGGCTATTCTCTTTTTGAAAAGACGATTGAGTTTGTTGCGGTTTTATCTTTTAAGGAGATTCTGTTGTGCCTCCCACATATGCAAAAGCTTTGGATCGACAACTTCCGATTCCAAGGCTACATCCGTTTCGGATGCGACTGCATTAGCGTCCTTCTAAGAGTCCCGGTCCAACTTTTTATATTGACAATCGGGCCTGGAAGATCAGCCTCGCGCTTCTCGTGGAATTTGTTCCAATCTGTCAAATGGACCTTCTTGTAATCCCTCTGGCATTGGACTGTTCGTATATCTGTTTCGATTATGCAGTGGTCGCTGCCAAGCAAGGAGCCAGTGTTCCTCCAATCGGCTTTGAAAATGTGCTTAGCCAGAGCGAGATCTGGAGAGGTGTCGTTCAAGATACTATTGCCCACGCGGGCGGGAAATCCATGATCGCCGCTATGCATTGCACCCCAAATGGCAACGCCTTTCCTAAGCGAACGACCATAACCCCATGCTTGATGTTAAGAGTTGAAATCACCCAGGCTGTTCGAGATACAGACATGATGCTGGCCGCCTGTTTGGTAGTGTCTTATTGCACTGCCCTTTTGATTGCGGCACTCTTTCGAGGCAGGTATGGTTTAAACTAGAATCTTCGAAATGCAACTGATTAACAGCGGTATTTCTGTGAACGAAAACGACTGTAGTGGATGTGCAATCTTCTAAATCCACATATTGTGGGTGAAAAAAGGCGTAACTTACTAACTTGAGCGGAGGGGTGGCCTCCTGTAAAGCGATTAGGTGTGGCCCGTTATCTGGTGGGAGATGCTGGATGTGCAACTGCAGGTTGCTCCGTTTGTGCCGGAGCCCCCTGCAGTTCCACTGCCAGATTTTAATCGTTTGTTGCTGGTGTCGGGTTCGTCTGGCCATATTTCTGGGGCACGGAGAGTTTGGCGAGGATCGCCTTAAGGAGTGTGTTAGTTTCTTCCATACGTTTCTCAAGCTCGTCCAACCAGTCCTCAACCCGGTCTAAACGCTCTCTGCTGCATTTGTGCGTCGGGGCGGACAAAGCAGAAACCAAGGAAACGTTATCTTCGATGGACATAGGGTCGTCAGCGCCCCCGTAGGACGAGGCGGGTCGTTTACGCGCGAGTTTAACCGCGCGTGGAGCGGAATCGGTAAGGGGGCTCATACCCTGGGGTTAGACGTTAGGAGTGCTATTAGCTGCGTACTCCGAGTGTACATTAACAGTAGTTTGAGTAAAGTGATTAACCTGGCTGCGCAACAGCTCGTTCTCTTACCCGAGAGATCTAATCTTCTCCAGCTCTTTATAGCGAGAATCACCAGAAGAATGTTGTTTGTCATTAGCGGAGACGTTCCTGGCCCAACTTGACTTGTGCTGTGATTCAGGCATCGTTTTCTTGGTAATATTGTCCTTAAAATGAAGGTCCCAGGAGATTACGTCCTGCAAACAGATCTGAAGTCATCAAAGTGACAGCTACTTCACCATTTAAGTGGCACCTGCTTGTACAGTCGGGGACAAAAGTCTCCAGGACACGCGAGCTGCGGCTGAAACGCATTGCTGTGCCATCTGCCGGCGGGTCGCCTGGTTTCGAGATCACAGAAAAGCGCATGCGCATCCTACTGTGCCGGCCAACATGTGCGCTTTCCCGCTCTTCTGCGGCGCGGCGCCTAACTCGGAATCGGGTGCGGGGTATCGCCTCGGAGATAGCGCTTACCGACATGGCACCTATAAAGCAAGAAGTCACGGCAGCTCAACTGAGCGATAAGCTGAACTAGTTATAACGCAAGGTGCGCCGACATGACGAAATACGGCACAATGCCCCAGGCAGTATCTCGAGTTTTGGAATATGTAGCAGACGCTCGTCAGCCGCCAGCGCTCTTTCTGAGGCGGTACCACTAGCCCGATTCCTAGTTAGGTGCTGTGCCGCAAAAGAGCGGGAAAACACACATGTTGGCAGGCAGAGTAGGAAGCGTATGCGGTTTTGTGTGACCTCAAAACCAGGCGACCCGCCGGCAGATGGCAGAGCACTACGTTTCAGCCGCGGCTCGCACGTCCTGGGGAATTTTGCCCCTGACTGTACACATTGGCAAACAAATAGAAAACATTTTCCATTGAATATTTGAAACCATAGGTGTCCACCTAATTAGTAGGTAGTTACAGTGCACACACTGCTAGTGATCAAATTCAGGATTTTATTGCTCAAGCAACAAAGGTAGACACAAAGGTTTTATTACACAAAAACATGGTATCGACAGAACTTGGACAGGATGCAGCTGTAAGGGCTTTGAACTTGGAGGTGACCCATAAAGAATGTTTCAATGTGCAGGCCAAAAATTCCTCAAATAGACAACATTTCAAGGCAACGTTTTATGTTTAAATTTGCATTTACTATAGTCAAAATATGGAAAGTGCATTAATGTGTCTGGCAGTGCTTACAGATGTTGTGAAAATAATTTTCATGCTCGTAACATCACCTTCATTTAAGACGTGAAGGTAGTTCTTTAATTATTTAGACGCTTCCCATAAAATTATCTATTTTGCGATTTTGATGTTTGTCATCCAAAGTTGGCCAATTATTTTGACATTCCCCATGAAAATGGCTAGATAATTGATTTTTTTTTGTATTTTCCTGATGGTGTTGAGGTGTTGCCAGGCTATAAGGCCTGCCTAAGGGGCCAACAAGCTTTGTTTCTATTTGGCACTGGAGATGTCTCCGTGCATCTGTGGGCTCTACAGGTGGGCGATCCCCTCCTAGAACAGCTTTCAGACATGACAACAGAAATTGATGAGCGGGATCCCCAGAAAAGATGGCGTGATCTTAGTGGGGACAGGCAACGTATTCTCAGCAGGTGTGCTCATTCAAATTTTTAAGAATAGGTTAACAAGAATAAGTTTGAATATTACTTTATCTTGCTTGCACATAACAAATGTAAGCGCTATGCGCAACGTAACATGAACTTTGGAATAGTTTTTCTGTCTCCACTTTCGAGCGAGAGCTTCTTTGCTTGGCATCCAGCCTCCCTTTCTTTGACAGCGTTGTCATTTTATTTGGATGTTGTTTTTTAATTGTGCCTGATCAGTGGGTAGGGCCAATGAACGACTGAGATGTCAAATAAGGCGTTCCTTCTGAATGCAAACATATCACTTCCTTGAAGTTTCTTGACTGGTTGGAACAAAAAAGACACAAGATATTTAGCCTCGCTGCTTGTGAACGATAAAAATGATAGCAGCACCAAGCAATTGCTAGTTATGCTAATGATTCAGAACTCCTTTAGAGCTATTCATCTCGAGTCATAAAAATTTTACCTGCAGTTAAAAAGTGTGTGGATCTCGTTGAACGTAATGCAGACTGCAAGGCAACCATTCTTTGACTGCCATCTCTGATTGTGCCTGTTGTGCCTCTATCAAATTATGAGCGACAAAATAAAATATATATATATAGCTATTATAACGGGGGCTCTCAAACTAGCATGATACTACAGTCGGTTACAGATTAAGAAGGTAGCGGCAAATGCCCCTCAAAGGGAATCATATATCCCTCCGCCACCTCCGTATCCAATAGCGTCCCATCGTCTCCGCAACATCGCAGCCAAGGTGCGAGGAGGGTCTTGCCTTTTTGTACATATTTGCTTTATCTTTCGACTTTGACTAAGCATTGTGGAAGCCACGAGAGGGAGATTAGAGTTTTCCCCCTCCGATAGAAACAAATACGACTTTCGGGGATTAGCTTCCCCCTCCGATGGATACAAAGGCTGCTTTCAAGGGCTCGGTTCCACCTCCAATGAATACAAAGGTTGCTTTCTTAAAGAGTGGGATCGGAGACAAGTTGGAATCCATTGAAGCGGAACAAGAAGCGTTTCCAGTGAACTCTTTTTTCGACTGCGGAGAGATTTGAAACGGAGGCATCATGCTTGTGAGAGGAGCTTCTCCTACCTTCTTGACTTGTCACCAACTATAGCCATTGTGACATCGGATGTAGGAAAGAGTTCATAAAAATTTTCACGTCTACAGAAATGATATCACAGACATGAAAGCAATACAGTTTTTTGACGGCAGTCGATAAAATAGTTGCTACCAATCCGTTAGCTTAGGCCTGGAACCTAAACCAAGACAAGGGTTTCAGGCTTGTCATCTTGGAACCAAGTGTGTCTCAATCACCACAAACAGGGATCTAGGCTGCAAGTTTATCATCACTCGGGGAATGATCAAGCATAATTAACTTCTCTCTGACAATCTTGGTACTGAATTCTTGTTCTGAACTGACAGTGAAGCATCGACTTCACTAAATTTTTTATTGGAAATGCAGCTCCACACATGGTACCTCGTTCTAGCTGCTTACCTGCAGCGACAAGGATACAACATAAAAGGATATACAGCAAAACTACAGTGAAAACTCGTTAATTCGCACCTCATTCATTGAAATTTTGGCGTAATTCACCCTAACTGCCATGGTCCTGCCACACAGCATATAACTCTCCATCTCTGCATGAAAACACCATTAATTCTATCACAAATCGGCTTCTTCACTGGTCATTAGAACTGCGCACTGCCATAAGTGACCGTGCTGGCCTTGCTACCCATAACTGCATAACACCAGCCGCCACCCGACTCCCATTCTGCCGTACCTATCCATCCCTCCATCACTTAGAATTCTGTAGGGGCTGTACACTGTGCCGCTGCACCTTTTTGCACTCATTCAGTTTAGCTTTGACCATTCTTTTCTCTCTTCCGCTACGTGCTGTGCTACAGTGCCGTTCCGCGATGTAGTTATCAAACATGAAGTCGACACTGGTTGCTTTTAAATGTGCTTTTGCAGAACGAGCATTCAAGCTAGAAAAGCATGTTTTAAAGCTGTGAGCACAGACAATGCTCTTGATTGTCGTCTTCACTACCCTGTCAACTGAAAGGCTCTCAGGATGAATCGAGTCGCAGCAAACCGTTTCCGCCAGGAAGAGGGAAAAAACACCGGTATCGCCCAGGTGCAGACGTCCTTGTTACAGATTACGAAGAAACTCCATGTCGCCTGCCTTGCCTTCCACTGCATCCATGCACAGAACCTGATGACCCTTACTTTCAAAGGAAATAAGCAGGTCTTTTTGGCATATAAAACTTGGCAGTTCTGAGCATTCCTGGATTTACCGGCACTGAATACGGCCAGTTTTCTTTGATTTTTACTAGTTTGAACTTCATTTAATTCCACCTATTTTAGCATCTTTGTGAAATTTGAATTTTTGTTAGCTTTTATTGTACAGCCAGTACTAACAAGTGTGAAATGAGAGGCCTGAATGCTAAGAATTAGCACTTTAAAGGACATGACAAAGTTCCAAGCCCTTTGTGCTACACTGCATGCAACTGAAAAAGAAATGAAGGTCAGGGAAATGCTTTATTTACAGTAATTGTACTCATCCTGAGAAGGAATTGTACCAACACAGGCCTCAAAGTGAAACAAGCTTCAGCCTGCTATAAAAGGTCTGCAAAGGAGTTGATGATTTTCAATAGAGTTACCTGGCTGAAATTTAGATACCGCAACTAGGACTAACCTTCGTATTCAAATGCAGTCCACTTTAACAAAGTAGTCAATGTGCTTTCCAAAGAGGATTGAGCACCCCAAAAATAAATAGTGCCATCCAATACTGAACAAAAAATCACATCAACATAAAAGGGAAGCAACTAAAAAATATTACATCAAGTGCACATACTAGCTTATACAGTAAATGATGAAACTTGTATTCAGCCCGATGAGCACAAACGGCAAATGTCTTATGTATAATGTAAAAGCAACATACAACAAAGTAACAAGAACTCAATAACAAACAGGCATCATGCTGAGAAAAAAAAAAGAGCTTTAAAAACCGTGTGTTACACCAAGTAACCAACCTGAGTAAAGTTTGCTGCAAGTGAAAGCGAGCTGTCTAAAGCAACACAGTTTTAGAAACACAATTACATCTCCTTTCAAGTCATAAATTATACAGGCAGTGTAACAGAACACATGATGTTGCTTTCATTCCACTGAAGTTCCTAAATATAAAGTGTAGCATTTTCATACATTGACACCGTATACCTAACATTCTTGAGCAGTCACGTATCTCCACCTGAAATAAAAGAGACTGCTTAAGAATTGTTACATAAAGAAGCTCCAACAAGACCAACCCCTCATTGATCTGTAGGAAAGCCAACCCGAAATCAGCATACAGTTCCTGCAAGTGACGAATAGTAGTCACTTGTTTAAAATACATATTTCAATGTTATGATAAAGGAAATGAAAGTACTACTGGTACATATAGGCCAAATTCAAATGTTTTCCAGGCGCATTGAAAATGGCAGATACATCTAATTATCATCCTACATGCTCATAGACAGCACAAGCAGATATGACTGAGTGCTGACTGGCACTCAGTCACATCAGAAACCAGCAAAGTCTCCAAGAGGCGAGAAGTCAAACCTAATGCAAGAGAAAGCATGAGGACAAGAGTGCAGCAGTTGCTGCTGCCTAATTCAGCCTGCTCTTTTACCGAATTCCAGACAAACTTCAATGTTCAATGTGACTGAAATGTACATTCTTTGCTATCCTCTATCAAAACTTGGCGCTATATGATTACCTGGACACATGAGCACGGCGATTGGGGCATTCTTCAAATGTTGTAAGTGAAGTTGACTTCAAACCACATGCATGACTGATAAGTAAAACTTCTATTGTTTCAAGGTTAAAGCTCCACAAGACACACCTTCATGCCAAAGGTGAGGAGTATCATGTGAGTGTTGGAGCCACTTAAGTTTCACTGAACTTTCATAATTTATTAGCGGTGTGCAACTAGTCAAGTTTAATATTTGATTCAAACAGTGGTCAATTGAAAAATTCAATTCGACTTTTGAATTCCCAGTATTTATGTTTTTGAATAAATCAACACTAAACCCGAGTTCATTCAAGAATGCTGTTCATATGGTGACATATGGTTGCCAGTCAACAAGAACATGCCCTTCTAACTATTTCATCTCCCCTTCCTCAAAGTCCTCGTTTGTAAAGCACTGGTGAATTTATGAAAGCCAACGAAAAGGCAAGACGGCCATTGCTACGACTAGCAGACAATGCCCAATCTAGGCGCCGTAACAAACTTGCTTGTTCTAATTGAAAAGAGGTTAGACACGAAGCTATATCTACCCTCTGCATCTTCCAATCAAGACATCTATGTCTACCCACTATGTCCTCCAATCACAGCTCAGTACAGCGACGTCACTGTACCTGTGTGCAAAGAGCACACAAACTCGCTTGTAAGTGCTCTCACATGAACAAAGCATTCTGCAGAGCCATGCTCCCAGGCTGTTTGTTGCCTTTACAAGCACAGCATTCAATATGCGAGGTGCATCATAATATTATTCGCCTCAAGAGTCAAACCTCCCTCGACCCTAGTAAACTGGACACAGGCAAACATGTAAGCAAACTCTGGCTTGTTTTTGTGACACCGCTTTCTTATCCATGCTATGGCAAACGAGGCCTAACTTGTTTGCAATGCTGCACAAGTAAAACCTCATAACTAACAAAACCTGCTCAAATTCTGCCATCTGACTGTAACTGCCGAATTCACAAACCTCACCCTGATTGAGGCGCCCCTTCCCTTCCTCAAGGAAGGCACGAGGGCCGGCGCTGGCCAATCGTGACGACGGTTAAGCAGCCTAGGCCCGTCGTGATTGACCAGCGCCGGCCATTGCGCCTTCCTTGAGGAAGTGGAGGGGCGCCTTAATCGGAGTGAGGTTTGTGGATTTGGCAATAAGGCAAGCTCAAAAGCAAAAGTTTAATCTGTTGACAGCAATCCATGTCAACCACTGTGCCTTAAATTAGGGTCTTATTGTTGCAAACACAATAGAAGAGAGAGAGATTTTGGGGGTTAATGGCGCAAAAGCTACGAGGCCATCTGCGCCAAAAACACAATAGAAGAAGGGGGATACTTATTTCACATTTCACTCACACTCCAATCACCCCTAAGCTGACAGGGCTACTAGAGCCATTGAATAGGTTTCCGGGGTACCGATTTCATTTCCTCTTTGCCAACAATTTTTACAGCGGTAGCTGTTATGGTCGCTCACAAAGTGAGGACAGTAGTCAGAGGTTTCAGTTGTTTCGCCTCCAGCGCAGGCTTGCTACCTTCGACAACGCATTGGCGTCCCACGCACCTTGAGCAAGCGAGTGCAGCCAGCACGCCAGAAGACATAAAAACGTGGTGCTGGATGCCGGGCGTTCCAAAGACGCGCTCTGCCATCCTAATTCTGTCAGCGACTATAATGCCCCTTTTGAACGAAATCCAGCAGCGCACTTACGCAAAAACCAGAGTGATTGTTGGGCATGCGTCGCCCAGAGTAGCTGCATATGCTCCACTTGCAGGAGCAGAGTATTACAATGGTTTCACACTTTGGCCTCCAAATATTAGGCAGTTTTAGAATTCGCACGCTAAAGCTTTGCGCGTCATCACCACTGTGCATGCTCCCAGTGTTGTATACGTTCCTCGAAAAGAGGAATGGAAGCTCATTCCTCTTGATTTTTGGAACGTGTTCCCGTTACAAGTTCCATCTGCGAGAAAGAAACTCGTTCCAGTTACAGTTTAAAAAATGGAATGTGTCGTTACATATACGTTACATTTGTATTTTGCTGATTAAAATATTTAGTTAGATTAAACAAACATTTTTTTATCTATCCCATTAAATAGCAACATACGTATTTGAATGCTCTAATGGAAGGACGCTAGGAGAAGAAAACAAGCAGAAGCAATGTTTCATTTGTTCATATTTTCACTTTTAGAAAAATCTCAGCGTTTTTCCGTACTCACATTTGTGGTGAAAAATTCAGACGAACCAAATATACAGTTACCCCCTTTGCACGATCGTTTTACAAGAATCTCACACGTTTCAATCTAACAAAGTCCAGTGTTCAAACTTAACAGTTGCTTCTCGATGCTGCTGTCAGCAAGACGAGCAAATGGAGAAGAAGGTAGGGCTTTTTGAAGGTTAGTTCCGAAAACTACCAGTCCTTCTTTGTGAAGGTTGGACTCGTTCAGTTTGAAGGTGGGAGAAGAGGACAGAGAAGGAAGTTAATTTCTGTGCATCTGGCCAATGTTTGGGATACAAGGGTGCGTTTGATACATGGTAATTCCTGTTATTTTGTTGTAACCGTATGTGTCTTTCTAGAAGTTCAGTGATGGCTGCAGTCAGCCTCAGATTTCTGGGTGTATGAGGATTTGTGGAAACAAAGAAAGTAGCTGAGTTTGAGACGTCCCTTTTTCTGTCTCTTCCTTCGACCAAATGTTCCGATTTTTGTGCCGCAGTCTCGATCACTGAAAAAATAATCAATGGTCACTAGCTCTCCTGCACCCTGCTGTTACCAAGCGAGGGCCCCACACAAAAAAACAGAACGAGATCCTCCTCTTCGTAAATATAATGTTTTTATACTTTTTTTCGAAAATTCTCCTTTTACAAATAAATAAAAATGACCCCACCGGACGAAGAAAAAGGAACGCCGTTCCTTCTTCCGTTCCCGTAATATGTAGCGAGTTCCCGTTCCAGTTCCATGGATACAAAATGGAACGCCGGCGTTCCTTCGTTCTTCCTAAAAGGAACGCGTTCCAGGAATGCCGTTCCGTACAACACTGCATGCTCCGAACGCTAACCACACTTTGCACTTTGCCTGTCTGGTCAACCACTCGCGTCGCTTTCTCATATTTAAACAAATCTAAAATGTTACTCTAAGCCGAAAAGTTCTTTCTCTCAAGTTACAACTTTCGTGTGTGAAAAAAAAAAAAAAAAAAGAAATTGCTCCTGTATCTTGGTGTCATTGCAAGCATGAGACGCTTGGGGTTTTGTGTCGCGGCGGAGAAGCGCTAAATTTAGTGCTAAAATTGCGTGAATTATTGCAAAACTCTTTATTGAGTGGAGAAGCAACCGTTGTTATTGCACGAGATGCGATGTGCACAACGAGATGAAAACCTGGAAGATGCATGACAGCATGCGCCATCGTGCACCCCCACAGGTCTTACAGATCTCTCAGAAGCGTGCATACGAGCACACTGCAGAGTTGGTCGTTCTGTTGTCTGCTCGTTCATGGCCACCTTGAGATGGTGCTAGCGTTGCAAAAAGATTGCAATTACAGATGTTTAAGTTGCACACACAATGTTCGAAGGTTAAAAAAGCCTGCTCATCAAAGTTCAGTGTAAGATCTATGTTTCACAAATGCAGAGTAAAAAATATGTCGGAATTAAAAACAGCGCGAAAAGACGAGGACCAGACAAAGAAGTGACACAGACATAGCTTCTGGTTCCCTGACTTGCTTGTTTTTTAGCACGTACTCTGTACGGCTGTGTCATGGCGCATTTTTTTTATATATGTATTTTTTATCATTGTTTTATTTTTATTGGTGATGCATCACATGAGCTGAATTTTTTCTTCTTTTTTGTTCGTGACACCACAGATATATATTGCAATTTTGCGTTCAATAAACTCAGTTGTAACAGCGCTACGTCCGCATCACTTCTTTGTCTGGTCCTCGTCTTTTCGCGCTGTTTTTAATTCCGAAGTATGTACCAACTCGCCCAAGCCTCAACTTTAGTAAAAAAAATATGTCCCACCCAAAATCCAGAGCTCTGGAAAGCTGCTTCCCTGCAACGCTTTAGGCTTATTTGACAGACGTGACTCCCTCTCCGCTAGAGATGGGTCGCTCAGGAGCGAGCCGGATCTTCTGAGCCGCTTTTTTTAAAGAGTGAGTGAGCCGTGGCTCAGTAAAAGTGAGATGTGGTTCTTTTGGGAGCCAGTTCTCTCTCGTTCAGTCAGCTGCGCCGAGTCCCGAGTCAGAGCCAGGTCAGGGCTGGACGTTGGCCGGGTCTTTTGCTGGGTGCGATTTGCACGCCATCTATTAGTAACGTGGGAAAGCAACTCCATTTCGTTCCTGCAGGATATATGCATGACTAGAATAACAGTGTTATAAGTAGTTCACTGCTACCTTCAAAGCGCCGCACCAGCACAAGATGCACGTTTGGCGAGAATCGAGATACCTTTCGAACAGCAGCGGTCAACAAACGGCGCCATCTGTGGACCCGGCCACTCAGCTCCG